ATTCCACTCAGAAAAAGTTCTTTCAGTCAGTCTTAATTTTCTGTTAAAGCTGCTCAGCGATGGAACTCAATCCCACCTCCAATCAGAGACCAGACCACATTCACTTTATTTAAATCAAATCTCAAAATATGGTTAGTGAGGAATCAGCTCTGCCAACACTGACCCAATCTTCTGCTCCTTACAACCTGTGTTTTAACATGTTCTTTTGTTTTGTTTTATTTGTTTTGTTTTAATGTTCTGTATTTTAAATAGTTTTATTTAAGTATTCCAGTAATGTGTGTTGCATGTTTTAAATGTATTGTATTTACTTGTTTAAAATGAAATGTGTTTTAGGTTGACTTTTAAAATCTGTCCAGGGACTACAGATGAAAAATAGCCTCTTGGCTAACTCTGGCACATTTACAGAAATGTTCATTAGTGTGCACTGTACCCGTTAAATAAATGAATAAATAAAAAATAAATGGATGTCATGCTGGTCTATGCTGGTGAACAGTGGCGGCGCCAGGGTATGGCTGGGGTAGGCTACAGCCATACCAAGAAATGGATTAGCCCCACCATGAAAAATGATGTTAAAGTAAGCAAAATAAAGTCCGCCAACTCGCGGAGTAAATTGCACAGACAGCAGTTAGTAAGATTGATTTCAGTAGCCACTTGTCTGGAAATACCGAAGACTATAAACTGTTTTGAAAACTTTTGTCACGTAGTGATCGTCTCCTCAATAGAACATCTTTGATAATGTCTTCTGGCCAATCAGAATCACGATAACGGCGTGGTGTTGTTGCAGGAAGTCCCGACGGAGAATACTTTGTCTGTAGTACATCTCTATATACATCGATACAACATTACGTGTTGATAGAAATCAACACGTAATGTTGTATCGATGTATATAGAGATGTACTGCAATGAAATAAGACCCCACGGTTTGATGATTGATAGGTGTGTGGGCTGTCTTTCATTTTGACACACAGAACAATGGGGGCTATCCACCCTTATCCACAATGTAATTCACACAGCCTCTTCCCTCTTCTCTGTGAGGAGCAGCAGGTTCAGTTTTCAGAACAAAGTAACAAAAAACTAAAATGGCATTCATTTTTTTAAATGTGTAGTAATAGATGTATTTATTTTTTTCTCAAGAGAGTACCAGAATTTGTATTTTATGTTAGTATTTCAAAAAATCTCCTGGGGGAGAATCCCCCCAGACCCCCCTGCAGGGGTTGGGTTTTCAGCATGTCTACTCTTTCACCTGTGGGGAAATGGCAGGATTGGCTCCAGGTCGTCCTTTTTATTTACTACAACACAAATGTGCCTTTTTATTTCATACAGTTCAATTTGGATTGAGGAAATAATCTAAACCTCACGCGTGGCGTTTCACTGTCAAGGGGAGCGTGTATGTAATTACATTGCAAATACTGACTTGAGCCCCACCACTGTATGGGTTAGCCCTACCATAGATTACCCAACACAAATACTCTGGAGCCACCACTGCTGGTTATGCTGGTCTGCAGCAGTCTTGCTGGCGAAACTGAAATAAACACAGACAGACAGAGAGGGCGGGACACGGCAGTGGTTGAAACAAAGCGGTATGTTTTGACTGGCACTAACGGTCGAGGACTGAAGATCAGTTGAACGTTTCTGTGACTCCGCCTAGCGGCTGCTCTTCTGAGAGGCACCGCTCTGACAGCTCGGACTACTGGGAAACGCGCTAAATGTCCTTCTGGAGGGTAGCAACACTACACAATTTCACCAATTCTGAGAGTAAAAGCTTTCTCGAAGGTTCGTTTTGCTTTCTTACAACGTTAAGTTAATGTTAACTTAACCTTACGTTTGCTAGGAGGCTAGCTGTCTTAGCTAACAACAATTAGCAGCTAACATTTTCTGCAGTTTGTGTTTCCCCTAAAAAATGTGATGCAGTTATAAGTTTACTTAACGTTATCTTACAAGTTGAGTTACGTTTATTTTAAAATCGTCAATGTAATGCCATTAGAGGTGTTGTGTTAAACATAAAGTTAGCCAACTGTAGCTCTCTACCAAAGGTTAGCATGTTAAGCTATACTTTGTGTGGCAGCTAGCTTAATACAAAGAGGGTTTTTGTGCTTCATTGTAAACTTTTCTTACAAATGTGTGTTAATCTACCTGAAATTGTGGGGACAGTTGTTTTCCTACTCAATGATACAGACCATTGTTGAGGAGATGTAAAACATACATATACTTTGAGTAATGTTACTTTGCTGCTAAAAAATGAAACATTATCAGATGAGGACATCACCAAAGTGTGTGAGTCTGTCAGGGTTTGATCTGTTCTCTGCATGTCATACAGGGCCTATGTACACACTGCTCTGGTATGAATTAAAAATATAATTGTAAAATCTAAGTCTCGCTCTTGTCATCGTTCAGGCTTTGCATTTGAACCCCTATGACTGGTTGCGGACTTGAAGGGAACGACTTCCTGGCCTTCCTGACATCCAGGAAAAAGGTGAGATTCTAATCTATTTCAATGCCAAAAGCAAGTTATTGTTTTTAACTTTTTAATATGATTTTTTGGGGCATTTCAGTTTTATTGGACAGTAGAGATCTACTGGAAACAGTGGAGAGGGAGGAGATGATATGCAGCAAAAGACCGAGCCGGATGGTTGCTGCTCCGTGTGGAACGTGTTCTATCAAGTAAAGCACTTTGGTACCCAGTTATTTGTGGTATTGAGTTTGAATTTAGCCTTTGGAAGGTCATTTCCAACAGTGCATTGTAAAGACCTAAAAAAACAGGCTCAGGTTAAAGCTTGACATGATTTGGTATTTTACTTAAGAGGATGTTTGTCCTCCTGTCTTCTCTTATTTCCTTATCTTTCTTTCAGGTGTAACGTCTACCAATGGTTGTACATGACACAACCTCTTTGCTGTCCTACTAGTCAACCCTCCTGATCAGAGCCTTTCCTAAATAGTGCTAAGTTGTTTTACAGTTCAGTGTACGTTAATTTAGCAACTTAATGCTGTTGAATAAACCCTATATATATATATATATATATACACACACATATATATATACACATACACATCCATCAGTAATCAATAAAACAAATCATCCAACACAAAATAGAAGAAATCTGGACCTATTCTATTTCTTTTTATACCACAGCATCTATTGGGACTGCTCATTGATGTCATCAAGAGCCATCGAGTCTACCTTTTGTAGTCGGCCTCTCAGAATGTTTAGCATTTCTTTGTCTCGTAACATTCCTATAATCATTTGTTTTTTTTATTGTTGATATTGTTTTTTTCTTTATTTTTGTTGTGAGAATCACTTTGCAATTGTGTAAGTGCTATATACATAGGTATACTATAAACTATACTATACTTATTGTTGTTACCATCATTACTATTATTAATAATGTCTTCTATGTTTTCTTTATTTATCGCTCTAGAAAGGTTCAAAAAGTTCCCTGTACATGGAACCATGCCTGTCCTCTGTTCCACATGTCTTCAGTCCGTTCTGGACACCATGACTCGGACACTAGTTCTACCAAGGCTCATTAGAGGTAAGCAGTGGTAGGAGAGTGGAGTTATCTTTGTATTTAGGCTGCAAGTCGACAAGAATAGATTACAAATCGCTTACAAACTGGTTCAGACAAGAGGCACCATGTGTTACGCAGGTGTGGCGCTGATATAGTTGATATAATATGCGGTTGAACTTTAAAATTAAATCATTTCCGGTGCAGAGACAAACACTCGCGGTGGATGTATAAAGTACATACTGGTGTTAATCAAATATAGCGTATATCCCTCAATTTAAAAGGTGTAAAGTAATATATCTATCATACTGTAGATCCTACACATCCACTGGAGGTAGATTCTGAAAGTATAATATACACTTCTCACTAGAAATGTAATCATAAAGCATTATTATGGCCAAACTATCCTACAATTTAGGATTTTCCACTGAAAAAAGTGTTGGATTCAAGATTCAAAGGTTTTATCATCATATGCTGAGCAGTGTAGAAATGTCAATGAAATTCTTCTGACCTGAGCTCCTCCAACAATGCAACATATATAATAAATTACAAAAATAAAAAGTAGTGGAGAAATGTTTATATACATGTAATATAATATGATATTTACAAGAGCAGAATATGAAATTAAATAATGTAAATTAAGAAACACATTAAATACGGTGTATTGCGTGGATAATAGACCCAATCACAGTGAATGTTCAAAACTAAATTTGATAAATGTTTTTTTCATCTCACAGTGCACATATTTAAGTAATCATAACACAAAGCTAAAAGTTCATCTGTTTTCCTTTCTCTTTTCAAGAGTGCTTCAGAGGATGGCTGAATTCACAAAACGTGGAGAAGACCGAGAGGGAGAAGTTGGCCGGTTACTACATTTCACAAAAATACAGGACCTTGTGAAAAACGGAAAGAAACAATTGAAGGAAACTGCTTAAAAATATGAAGTAATGGGTGTTTTGAAAATGTTTTCAAATGTGTGTTAATGTTCATTGTGTGTTATAAATTATTGTCCTGCTTCTAATCATTAGATGTATGAGTATTTATTTACAGACATTCTATATTTTCTGTTACCTTTCTGGTAAGGTAGGTGCTCTGATCTGAAATGATAGATGTTCATTGAGCTACTGCAATTGGGTGAGAGTGTTTCATCATCATCATATATGACCAGCTTAACCATCAAGTAATTCCAGTTAAAGTTCTACTCAAGATCATACCAGTCTGACCAGCTAATGGTGACCAGCTAGAACACTGTGACCACCAGCTTTTACCAGCTAAACGAGCTATCCCGACCAGCTAATGGTAACCAACTAGACCACAAACTAATCCAGCCTAATATTGTTATTAGCTGTTTATTTTTCAGCACGTCGTAGTCTGGAGTATTGATTGTACATACAGTACGAGAACAAAACACCCAATACTCACAATCAGTTATTAAAGTAAGTTAAACCCAATACTCACATTTATCCGTTATTAAAGTAAGTTAAACCCGATACTCACGTTTATCAGTTACTCCTCACGTGCTGCCTTCTCTCTGAGACCGGACCGACATTTTCTTTGTTTTCACGTCACCGGCGCGCATTGCATCCTGGGATACGGTGGGCTACGAGGAAGAGGACTCTTCGGGAAAAGAAGAAGAAGGCCGCATTCCAACCCGCCCCTCCCCCCTCTCTTCTGTCTGTCCGCAGAATCAGAAGTCCTTTATTGGTCCCACAGAGGGACATTAACATGGTTACAGCAACAGTGGAGATAGATGCTGCTCCCAGACCGTAGTGGAGGAATACAGGGGAGGACTCTCTGCAGTCTTCCCGGACTGAAGCACCAGTCTTCGGCTTCAATAACCCACTCTGAAATTAGGCAGCCAGGCAAGCGGTTCCTTGGGAGGTCGCTGTGTTTCCTCAGGACTTTGTTATACAGCTAACTGGAGACAGACTGATTACTGCTGCTACTCCCGCTCTCTTCCGGACACACACTACGCTCGCTCACTCTCGCTCTCGCTCAACACATGCATGCTCCACATGCACACACCACACCTCCCTCTCTCTCTTAAAGGGATAGGCGAACCCACTCTGCATCACCCTGCTGTTATAAGAGAGATAGATAGATAGATAGATAGATAGATAGATAGATAGATAGATAGATAGATAGATAGATAGATAGATAGATACTATTTGATATTTAAAATTATATTTGTAATCCTCATACAACTTTATTTATATTTTGAGGACAAGTTTATCCAGAAAAACAAGTGCATGTATTATTTACATGTTGGATTGTTTATTTCTAGTCTTTTAATTCCTCTAATGTTCAATGTCTTGTCTTTTTATGCTGCTGCCACACAAACATTTCCCTAGTTGGGATCGATAAAGTACTTCTTATCTCATCTTATGTTATCTTAATAACACGCAGGCCTGTTCCTCCTTGACTGCTATTCGGTGCTTTTATTAACATGCATTGTAGTTTTAGAGGTGAAGGTGCTGGTATTTGTATGTTGCTATTTGCTTGTCGATGTGTCTTTACAACTGTTGATGTGTTGTTTATCTGTAATGGAGGTGCATCATGTTGTTCTCTCTTCTGAAGCTGAAAATATGAATACATTCTGGAAAACTTTAAGAAAGAGACAGGAGCTTCTGAGATCCACGTGTTTTAGAAATGGACATTTTCAAAAGCCTCAAATAGACAGTTTGCGTATCTGTGAGTATTTTTTTTTTTTAAAGCATCGGTGAGGAACAATGTGAGGGTCGGTGTGTGACTGTTACACTAAAGTGTGTGTGCGTGCATCACATGAGTGACGTCCAGACTCTGGACATGCTTTGCAGTGTGTTCAGAGCTCAGCCCCCCGCAGACGTTTACTCTCTGAACGGAAATCACCTCTCTCGATCCTCCGTCTTCCCCCCTCACCACTCTCGATATGTAACTGAATATGAAATATATTAAAATACTGGATAGATGAAGCTCATGAGATACTATGTTGAACATATGATAGCTTTGTTTCTACGAATAACATGAGGATTCAGCCCCTAGGGAGATCAGAATCATTACATTGCATTACATTGCATTTAGCTGATGCTTTTATCCAAAGCGACTTACAATAAGTGCGTTCGACCAACAAAATACAAACTTGAAGAAAACAGAATCATATAAGTACATCAGGTTTCATAGAGCAAAAACATTTCAAGTGCTACTCAACTGGCTTTAGGTAAGCCAGTCCTTTCAGAAACAGGTTTATCACCAGGTAGGTGCACACATACGAGGAATTTGACTTGATGTCATGGTGCAGACATAAAATATAAAACAAAAAATCTTTAAGGACACCGTAATAAAATATAGTTAAATAGCAATAAAATAAATCAGTAATTTACATGGAAATAGAATGCTATGATGAACTTTAGGCGCAGAGTACTTTTCCTGTTTGGTTCAAACCAAAAAGAGTACTTAGTGCCGGGAACTTTTACCCCAATTTTTAGTCCCTGCTAGAGAGGTGGTATCCTGGGGAGAAAAAAGTACCAATTTCTATTGGCTGGGCGAATTGCAAACCACGCCCTGTAAAACTCTGAAAAGTTTTTTGAAGCCTGTGAGACTGACCGTTGAGCGGCCCAGACCAAGCAAGGAGGCAGAGGCAGAACGTCCAAAAATATAACCCGACGTGGGCATTTATTAAAATCATGTGCACAAAGTTCACAGCCTCAATCCTGCTGTTCTCCTTGCACACATCCTGCAGCCACAAGGATCTCAGACACACTCAGTTACAAGGAAACAGCACCTAAATACACAAGAGGGGGGAGGAGACAACACAGGACACCAGGTGCACACAATAATCAGCCACAGACAACATATTATTTGCACCCTGATTACTCTCAACCGCTGTCATCCTTACACCAGCATAACTACTCTCGGTGCTCTCGCAAACTCCCCTATCTTTTCAGGCGGAGCCGAGGACCCGACCAGCACCTGCCAGACGACATTCCAATAAATATGGTTTAATCAGTTAAAAAATACTACCTCAATAATTAGTATAAATTATGTGTAAATATGTCATGTCAACTGTACTGTGCAATCACGCTAATAAAGTGCAATATTACCCGGCCCGAAGCCGTCAGTCCATAGTGACGAAGTTACCTTCGTCACAAAGCCGCCATTGAATTTGCTGGCATTAGCATTATTAGCATTAGCATTAGCCCCGCGCACCAACGGAGAGAGAATAACTTATGGCAACAAAAAAAAAAAACATGAGAGCGGTGGAGTGATGAGGAGGTGTCGGCGTTCTGGCGATTTACTCTGAAGGCTTCAGTAGACGCTGCTGGGAGTCCCAGCAGCTTCTACTGAAGCCAGTCCCCAACTCCGGGGACTTCCGGCCGGGGACTTCGGGTGGCAGTATACGCCGTGAAGTTGTTTGCGGCCTGCCAGTAAACCCAAAGCAGAAGAAGAAGAAGTGACGTCAGCGGCTCATTTGCGTAATCTTCCCTCAGGGAAAAGTACTCCAGTGTGAACCTATCCCGGTAGGTGAAGAGGGTCTGGTCATACAAAACCGGGTGATTTGCTACGGCGATAATTAGTTTCTCCTCCATCTTTTTTTGAAATATAGAAATGAACGGCGGGATATCTCTCCCAGCTTAGACGCGGTTTGATTGGCTCGGGCTTGAGCTGTCAGATTTTCAGAAACGGGATTTGATTGGCTGGCGCTGGCTACTCCGGCGTCTCCGGCGTCAGTGACGCCGGAGACGCCGGAGAGGGACCGCTATGCTACCCACAATTCAATTCGGCGAAAAGCGAGGCAACGTGACGTCACCCCATTCAAAGTGAATGGGCAGACGCGTTGGAAACCGTTTTTTGTAGCTTTGATTGATTGATTGATTGAAAAGTTTATTAGCAGCTTGTATATTGGGTACAGTACAGTACAGCTCAAAACATACAATTGTTAAGGGGATGCAGACCAGAGAAAGACTTTCGTCTTGTTTACATCAGGGTCCCCCATTTCCAATTCATCATATCATTTAAGACATATAAGACATATTTGACATACAGATGGCTTATTTACAATTTACATACAGGTGGTTTTTTACATACAGATTGCTTATTTACAATTTTCATTTTAGATTTCGTTCTAATACATCCTAACCGGACATTTAAGACATACCAAGTCTACAGATATACAGTTAGTAACAGAGTCTAAAATGCGAGTATATACATAGATGGGGGGGGAAGCAGTCCATTGTACTACAGGTTGAGATTTGTACCATTACCGGGGCCAGTTTTGCAATGCTCTCCCCCGAAGGTGCTCTTTAAGAGAGGTTTTGAAGGTAAGTATAGTTTTACTTTCCTTTACAGTTGTGGGAAGAGCGTTCCACCTTGATGTGGCATAATTGCGAAACGTGTATTCCCCCTTTTTTGTGCCAAATCTGGGTTTCACATGATTTGTGGAGCTCCCTCTGGTGTTATGATCATGGTATTCCTTGACCTTTGGGAATAATTTTGACATGTACATGGGTACCATAGAGGTGTAGTGGATCTTGTAGACCAGGCCCATTGCAAGTAGCTGTACTCATCGTCTACTCTAAGCCATCCTAGGTTGTCAAAGTGGGCAGAGGTGAGGTGGGTTCTAGATGAAAGGTCAAGCAGTAGTCTGACTAGTTTATTTTGCGATGTTTGAAGTTTTATTTTTAGCGCCTTGGAGGTGCTATGGTACCATGATGCAAGCATAGTCATAGTACCCTTGAATGAGTGCTCCTGCCAGAGTTTTCAGGGTGTTTTTGTTTACCAGAGAGGAGATCCGGTATAGGAATCTAGTTCTTTGATTGACTTTTTTTATTACATTGGATGCCATTTTGTCACAGGAGAGGTTTGCCTCAAGAATAGATCCTAGGTATGTCATTTCCTTCTTACTTGTGACAATAATGTCGCCCACTGCAACTGAGAAGTCGTCGGATTTGCTGAGATTATGTTTCGAACCGAAGAGAATGGACTCTGTTTTACCCAGGTGTAATGATAATTTATTATCGGCGAGCCAGGTGCAGATTCTGCCGAGCTCGGAGCTGAGGGTTTTTTCAATCTGCAATCTGATCCTGTCAGAGACCAGCAGGGCTGAGTCGTCCGCGAACAGGAACAAGTTGCAGTCACATGCTGATGATATGTCATTTGCATAAATTAGGAACAGTAACGGACCTAATATGCTTCCTTGTGGAACACCACAGCTCACTGGGAGGGGGGGGGGGACAGAGTACCGTTTACCTCCACCATCTGTTCTCTCCCCTCCAGGTAGGATTGCATCCAGCTCACCGATAGTTTATCAAAACCAATTGCTTTTAGCTTGTCAATCAGAATGGGGTGATTGACAGTGTCGAAAGCCTTTTGTAGGTCCAGCATCACCATGCCGCAGTATTTGCCCTCGTCCACCTCTTGTTTGATGTGGTCGCTCAAATAAAGAAGGCATGTGTCAGTGGAGTGGGATGTTCTAAAGCCAGATTGAAATTCATAGATTAGTTTATTTTCCGCGAGGGTACTTTTCGACTGTTCATATACTATTTTTTCCATGACTTTCGAGATGGAGGTAAGTATAGAAACAGGGCGGTAGTTGCCTGGGTCCAATTTGCTGCCCTTTTTGTGCAGGGGGGTTACTCTTGCAATTTTGAAGTCTTTGGGTACTTTTCCCTGTTTTATGGAGAGGTTAATTATGTGAGCTATGACTGGTGAGATGGCGGTTGCTGTGTCTCTGAGGAATTTGGAGGGGATATTGTCGTGGCCAGTGGCCTTGTTAGGTTGGAAGGCGCTCAGTTTAATGAGTACCTCTGCTGTTGTTACCCTTGCTAGACTGAAATCATCTTTGCGTACCCCTAGGTTTTTGTAGTAGGTCATGATGTGATCTACTCCAAAAAGCCCTGAGTGGGAGGGTAATTTATTTACAAGAGTTGTGGCTATGTTTGTGAAAAAAAATGTGAAGTACTTGGCCACATCCAGTTTGTCTGTGATGAGCCTGTTATCTGTCTTTATGTTTAAGTTTGAAAATCTCGTTTTGAGTTTTTTACTGCAGCCAAGCTGGTTATTGAGTAATTTCCAAAGTTCACAGGGTTTATTTTTGTTTTCCTCAGTTTTGACATTGATGAAATTCTTTTTGGCAGTTTTGATCATGGAGCTTACGTCATTTCTTAGTCTGTTTCTTTCAATTTTTAGTTCAGTCACGTGGGCCTGGAGTTCACTGCTCGTGCTTTTGGAAAGCATTGACTGACTTTTATGAAACTCAGAGCATTTTTTGTCTCTGGTTTTCATTGCGGTCAGTATGCTGGAGTGTGATTTGTTACCCTGGTTGTTCTTAGGGGGGCCAAATCATTGAGTATTGCAGTGAATTTGTTTTTGAAACCAAGCCATGTTTCTTCAACTTGTGTACCACTGAGCTCATCCGACCAGTCCAGGCTCTCCAGTTCTCGGTTAAAGGCCTCGCTAGAGTAGTTTTTGAGGTCTCTAGATATGACTGTTTTGTGACAGCCGGCCTTTTGTTTTAGCTTTTTGCGGGTACAGAATATCATATAATGATCACTTAAACCGCATGCTATAACCCCTTTACTGGAGATCTTGGACTTGTCAGAGGTCAGAATGAGATCAATGGTAGTTTGTGTTGTTTCACATACCCGGGTGGGTTGGGTGATTAGCTGGCTGAAGCCGTGCAGATCACAAATCCTACTGAAGGACTTGAAGACGGACGTGTCTTTACATTGCATTATCCGTGTTCCAGTCTCCAATAATAATTGTCTCTACATCCCCCACATCAGCCAAACACCCATCTAATGTATCATAAAAGACACTCTGTTCCGGTGGTCTATAGATTGTCCAGACTATTACAGCTGTCGAAGCTGTAGTGTGGACGGCCCGTTAGCCTTATAGTTTGTGACCTGTCTGCTGAGTCGTTAGCTGAGAACTGGGGTTGGAGTTTCTCAGAGTAGTCGTTTAGCATCTCACTCCGCCTCGCCCTCATCTCAATAAATTGAATATCATGGAAAAGTGAGTTTATATCAGTAATTCAATTTATAAAGTTGAAACTTATTCATCACATACAAAGTGATTATTTCCAGCGTTTCTTTGTTAATCTTGATGATAACATGAAAGCCACAATTCAGCATCTCAGAAAATTTTAATAATACATAAGTCCAATAAAAAAGAGATGTTCTAATATAGAAGTGCTGGCCTTCTGAAAAGTATGTTAACGTCCGCTTCCTTAACTGCGTGATAGTTCATTAATGCATTTCATTGTTCAAGCATTCCAACAGCAATTGCGGATATATCCATTTAATATCATCCTCAGCATCATGATATCACTGGATGGATTTCCCGTTTCGTTTTGTCAAACATCCGTAACTATGCACACATCAGTCCTTGCATTTTTTTTGACGAAGCGATCTCTTTGTAAATAGTAAATTAATACATTTTAAACTATAGTGTGACTCACAAAAACACCTGATAAGTGAGAGTTTAATCAAATTTATATTATTATCAAGCCTAACATTCAGACAATAATAACAAAAGGAAGATGGCTCTAAGACTCGAGATCTGAGTTCCTGGCTGGTTCTGGACCTCCACAGACCTTTCCATCAGCTTCTGTTTCCATGTGTTCAGCTGAGCTGCTGGCTGGAGGCTCTAGGCTTGTTTGAGACGCGTTGCGGCTCGCCTCGAAAGTAGACGAGAATAGCCGATCGCAGCCGGGGGAGGTCTCAAAAAGCTTGCCTGAAGTCGGACAGCTCGGAGTCGGCTTCGTCTTCTTCTTCTTCTTCTTCTCTCGGTTTTTTGGCGGATTGCAAACAGCTTGAAGGTGCATACTGCCGCCTCCGGAGTCGGCTTGACTCGGTTTGCATTTATAAAGAATGCACACGTGTTTAATCGTTAATGTCAGATATGTACTAAGTAAATACATTTGTTCCTGCTCAAGATTAGATTCAACTTTATTGTTATTGCACATATTACAGGTACTGAGACAACGAAATGCAGTTTAGCTTCTAACCAGGTGCAACAAGCAGTAAAGTGAAAAGTAATGTACACAATCTACAGAATAAAATATAGAATGAATTGAATGATGAATAAACAGTGAGGGGTATGAATACACTAGATATACACAGCGGCCTGAGAGCAGTATGAACAGTGTGTATGAACACACTAAGATATATAAAGTATGAAAACGGTAAGCAGTGCAAGTAAAGTATAAAATATATGGATATTAATTTAATGATGATAAATATTGTGGAACAATGATGAAAAATGTGAATGGAAGTGGCGACGTAAAACTGACACAAAACAACAACAACATTTTGCCCAGCCAATTGCATCACCAGCACGTGGAAAAAACCACCAATGAGCGCTAAGCTCGAGATACCAGCGAGTCGTTTCCCATCAAGCATTTCGCTTACGCAGCCCGTGGAGAGGAACTGCGCCGCCTCGCCGCGCCTCGCTCTCAAGGCTGCGGGCGTCTTTGTCCCGCGAGATTTCAACGTCTCATGTAGGCGAGCCTCCAGAGCAAGTCGGACAAAATGACTAACCATCATGCAACGCACGAGCAAGACGTTGATCGAAATTGTGCAGGTCTGCGCAGGTCTCGCTTGTCTCAAACAAGCCTTCTGCCTCTGTTCTCCTCACTTTGAGTTTGATGAAGCTGTGAGGAGTGACGACCAACACACTTGTGGAATTTGATATGATGACTCTGGTTGAATCTTTTGTCACAAACACTGCAGCTGTATGGTTTCTCTCCTGTGTGGACTCTCATGTGTTTCTTTAAATCTCCTCTCTCTGCAAAAGATTTCTTACAAATTGAGCAGATGAATGGTTTCTCTCCTGTGTGGATTCTCATGTGTTTCTTTAAATTTCCTCTCTGTGCAAAATATATCTTACAAACTGCGCAGCCAAATGTTTTCTCTCCTGTGTGGTTTCTCATGTGCCGATTTAAATTTCCTCTCTGTTTAAACGTTTTCTCACACAAAGAGCAGACAAATGTATTCTCTCCTGCACTAAGTCTTGAATTACTGACAGGGTCTTGTTTATTTCTCTGAGACTTTGAACCTGGTTCTCTCGTCTCCTTCCAATCAGCCCTGTCTTCAGTGTCAGGTTCAGAAGAGTCTCCAGGGTTGTCCTCAGTCTCTGGTTGTAAATGTCTCTCTGGATCTGAGCTCCTGGCTGGTTCTGGTCCTCCACAGTCCTCTCCATCAGCTTCTGTTTCCAGGTGTTCAGTTTGTCTTTGATGAAGCTGAGAGGACTGAGGTTTCTCTTCATCATCTTCACTCTTCACAGGGACAGGAGTGAATGTGGACTTGGTGATATCAGCCTCCTCCAGCCCTTGAAGCTGCTCTCCCTCCTGACTGCTCCAGAGTTCCTCCTGTTCCTCTTTAATGTGTGGGGGGGGCTCTGGGTCCTCCTGGTCCAGACTGGAGCTCCACTCCTGCTGCTCTGGGGGAACCTCTTCTTTAACCACCACCAGCTGCTGGACGTCTGCAGGAAACAGGAAACACATTCAGAGAAACTGTAGAATATTTGAATTTAAAATCTTTCGACGATTAACACTTCTTTAACTTTGCAGCCTTTATCCATTCCTTATTTTAAATGCTTTTCCAGATGCCCTGGAGAGTTTCAGGACAACAGGTGAGTTAGTACTCTAGCTGATCTAAAACGTAGTTTTACTGCCGCTTAGCAAGGCATCGGCCGTTCACGGAGTGTGATGCCTTAGCCTCATAGTTTGTGACCTGTCTGCAGAGTCGTTAGCTGAGAACTGGTGTTGGAGTTTAAAATCTCTCTCCGCCTCGCTAAACCTGTTTAAATGTATACATCACATCTATTCATCAGATACAAAAGGGATTATTTCCAGTGTTTTAATCTTGATGATTGCGGTTTACAGCTAATGAAAGCCAAAATTCAGCATCTCAGAAAATGTGAACATAACATAAGACCAATACAAAAACTGATTTTGTAATAATATAGAAGTGCTGGCCTTCTGAAAAGTCTCAGAGTAGTCGTTTAGCATCTCTCTCCGCCTCGCTAAACCTGTACTTGGACTCATACAGGTGCATCTCAATAAATTGAATATCATCGAAAAGTGAGTTTATATGAGTAATTCAATTTATAAAGTTTAAATGTATATATCACAGATTCATCACACACAAAGTGAATTATTTCCAGCGTTTATTTGTTTGTTTGTTTTGGCCTTCTGAAAAGTATGTTAATGTTCCTGCTGTCAGTACTTGGTTGGACCTCCTTTAGCATGAATAACTGCATCAATGCGGTGTGAAATGGAGACTATCAGTCTGTGGCACTGCTGAGGTGTGATGGAAGCCCAGGTTGCTTCACTAGCGGCCTTCAGCTCGTCTGAATTGTTGGGTCTCGTGTGCCTCATCTTCCTCTCGACAATACCCCATAGAATCTTTACAATAATAATCTCCAAATTCTGACTTTTTCCCAAAATGTTTACTTTTTCTTAAATGCTGAATATTTAAGAAAATCTCAACATTCTGACTTTGTTTCTCAGAATTACGACTTTTTTCTGGAAAACTCACGTTTATAATCACGTTAATAATGATTTTTCTCCACTCATTAGAACAGAGTGGGCGAGCTGACCAATCAGAGCACAGTGGGCTCATATGGAGGGGGGGGGGGGGGGGGGGGGGGTCGTTTCTCCAACAAGCCGTTCAGGACAGAGAGTGAATGCACATACTATACAGAGATGCTGTTTGAGAAACCAATGTGAGTTAGGAACATTGAAAAATGTAAATCTATTCTAGTAGACCTCAACAATGGAATTATGATCAGTAGAAATGGCCATGACATGGGACCTTTAAAAAGCATCAGTTGAGTGAAACTTCTGTATGACAAGCAATTTAAGATTTGTATTCACAAATCCCAGAATGGTAGACAAGGCTCAACATTATAAATGGCCCGCTGTACCGGAAGCACTATTTCGACCACGGGGCCAGCATAACGTACTTTCCACTTGCCCGCTCGGGCCACTAGAAATATTTCTTAAAAAATAAATGGTCCTGTGGTATTGGCATTTTTGTTAAAGGTCCCATGTCATGGCCATTTCTACTGATCATAATTCCATTGTTGAGGTCTACTAAAATAGATTTATATTGTGCAATTTTCACTCTCTGTCCTAAACGGCTTGTTGGAGCTCCTGCCCCCCCCCCCCCCTCCCTGTGAGCCCAGTCATCTGTCTCGAAGACGGCTGCGAGACAGCGAGACACAGCGAAACCCAGCCCGAAACACACACACACCCGCAGCCTGGCCTGTGCTCAAGCTGAGTTCCGCGGTGTCCCCACACCAGTGAGCCAGCTCACACTGTTCGCTCCTCGCAGCAGCGAGCCTCGCAACGTCCTGCCTAGTGTGTGTGTGTGAGGAAGTCCGCGGATTGGTCCAAACGTAACGGCTTTGACGTTACGTCACTGTACCCAGGAAGAAAAAGAGAAATCTCCAACGAGGCATTCTGGGGCAGCATAGACAGGTCTTTCTGTGTTAGAGTTTTACTCGCTACAGGGTATACTTTGAGGGTTTGTGACTCTGCAGACCGTTTACATGCATAAAAAGCTACATAACACACAAGGGGACGGGTAATAACCAGAAAAGCGTGACATGGGACCTTTAAATTGTTTTGTTTATTAACGCTACAACATAGCGCTTCGTGAGGCGGTTGTTGTTGTCGTATGAAAAGCAAACAGCGGTTTGCTTCGGAGTAGAGCGCAGCGCAGCAGGCTCCCGTGCGCGCTCCTTCACTACAGACTTTCTCGCCAATGTTTTTAAAACCACCGGTAACCGGCCAAGCGCTGAGAAAAAGATCTTCAAAGATCTTCAAATAAAATATAGTCACCGGAGGAGTTAAAGGAGAGTGACCGGGAGTATGAGAAGAAGAGCAGGGCTCGACAGTAACGGTTGCCAGGTTGCCATTGGCAACCATTCAGGAAAAATGTCAACCACTTCTTGGCCTTTGGTTGCCATCAGTGGCAACCAGTTTTTAACATAAAGAAATAAGGACAGCAAAATGTGCACCCCAAAATAGATACATGTGAATTATCTGTTGTATTAAGAGTAGGGGTGCAACAACTAATCGACTTAATCGATTACCAAATTAGTTGCCAACTAATTCAGTCGTCGATTCGTTGGTGACGTCATCACGTGTGTTTTACGTGCCGTTAAGCTCCAACGTTATTGGTCTTTTTATCGGTACCGGAGACATTAAAAAAATACTTGTCATGTATTATTGCTACATAAGCATTATATGGCAGTCTTAGTGTCGCCAACTCGTTTCTAATATGCAAAAAGACAACAAAAAATGCGTCTATGATGTATTTTCGATCTTTCCAATCCAGACGAGAGATCTTTCTCTCCCCCGTCTGTGTGCGAGGGGGCGGGGCAGTTTACACACATGCAGCTGCTACATGCAGCAACACACTGCGGAGATGGCGGAGAGAACGCGCTCCGAGGTGTGGTTAAACTTTACCCGTCTCGATGCTCGTTACCTAAAGTGCAATAAGAGTTTAGCATGTAAGGGCAGTAACCAGTGTGAGAAAAAGTTTTTAGAGAGTACTTGTCCATGGACAAGTGAGTTTGGCAATTTACTTGTCCGAATACATTTTTCACTTGTCCAGAATGGACAAAATTGGGGCCACTGGAATCTTCTTCTTCGTCATCGTATTTTACATTTTCCCACGGTTTTTACGACACCGCTAACGTAAGTGAGCGGTAAGATTTTACTGCATCACACATAGGGTTGGGTATCGTTTGGATTTGAACGATTCTGGTTCTGCTTTTCGATTCCGGTTATTTTCGGTTCTCAATTCCGGTTCTTTGAGAGGGTCAAAATAAGTCAAACTGGGAGAAAAATATATTTATGAAAAGATTAAGTCAAATCTGTATTCCTATTTACAAATCACTTCATACTGTTGAATTTCTTACGGTTATTGAATACAATTATATAAAAATAATCTCTGCATTGTTTAGTTAGTTCTGGTGCAGTTTGAGAATGTACAATTGGCCCAGTCTCCTCTGATGTTACACTGCAACCTGCCTGTGAGACAAAGTCCAACCACACATGTCCAACACATAGGACATAACCTAATAATAATAATAATAATGACACATTAGATGTATAGCCTATAGGCCTAGCGCTTTTCTACAACTCAAATACGCTTACACATGTCCTGCAATACACATGCTGCAGCTGCCCAGCTGCTCACTGTTTGTAAAAGTAAATAAATAGTATTTTCATTTCAATAATGTACCTTCTATACCCTGCTTCATAAACAATACTGACATCCAGTGGCGTGCACAGACATTTATAGGGGCAGGTGCTCAAGAGAAAAAAAAGGGGCACCTTCTGAGTCGTTGTGGCGGTCGCGCCGAAATTGTGCGCTCCGAAATTGTGCGCAAAAATTTGCCGGATAATGGCGGATTTTGTTACGTTTCTTTTTGGTTTTGGTTACTCTATTTCGGGGTTAGGGTTATGTTATTTAATTCTTATTTTTGCCTGATTTTACTGATTTATTATCAACATTTTTATTATTTTAACATTTATTTGTATTATTCTAAATGACTTAGGGGGGTCCAATCTGAAGCTAGGGGGGGATGAAACCCCCCCCCCCCCCCCGGGATTGACGCCCCTGGTGGAACCGCCGGCTGCCTTAGTAGTGTGAGATTTATTAAAAGGCACATCTTGTATGTCGTAATTGCATATATATTTATTTCAATAACCATATGCTGTCTGATGCAGATGCCTATCTAAAACAAATCAAATAGTAGGCTTACTAGCTTCTACACGCTAAAGCAACTGTAGTCAGGGATGCAAACTCATCGGGTATGAAAAAGGTGACAAGGATCCGAGCCCCCGACCCCACGGAATATCGGCTTTAAAATGAGGAATAACAGAGGATTTTAGCAGTCAGAACAACTAAAGCAGCAGGTAATAATAACAGAAACGCCAAAGAGTTACATCTAATAGAAATATATAAAAGCATTTATTTTAATTGTGTAGCAGTCAGTTTATAATTTTGGCAGCACTGTTGAGCATTTTGAAAATGTATTTTCATGCCTCTTAGTATTTTTATAATACTTTTCTACTTTCACTTGAGGAACATTTTGAATGCAGGACTTTTACTGTAACAGAGTATTCCTACACTGTGGTACTTCTACTTTTACTCAAGTACAAGATCTGAGTACTTCTACTTTTATTAAGTACAAGATCTGAGTATTTCTACTAAAGTACAAGATCTGAATACTTCTACTTTTACTCAAGTACAAGATCTGAGTACTTCTACTACTAACAGCTGTTCACCAGCGGCTCAGTCTGTGCCACAGTGACTCTGCACAGTTAACGAACACACCGTAGATAATGTAGCTGACCCTCATCCCGGAGCAGCAGAGTTCAGCCGGCCCGACAGGCAAGAAGACTCGAGCACACAGCTCGCGCTTCATATATTAAAAAATAACACCATGCGCACATAACAGCT